GGGAGGGGTGGGTGCAGAAGAGAAGGAGCGATGACGGGTAAGCTCTCAGAGAGACAGGGAGAGACGGCAACCCGGCACAGGTGCAGGGTCCGCAACCTGGCCCTCGAGAGGCCCAAGAAAGGAAGCGAGAATGGTGTTCACATCTTGATGTTGTTTGGAATCAGAGGCGAAAGTGTCCAGGAAGCAGTTTGTTTTTCCTCTGCTCTCTTGTTGGCCGGGACAGAGCCAATGTTCTTGAAGGGATTAAAAGAGTAACAGCCCGTCCCTCTTACCCTTCCCGTCTTCCCCGACCTTCTCCTTCCCCCCTCCTCTCCCCTCTGCCACCCCAGCCCTGCTTCCTCTTCTCTCCCTCCCCCTGCTGGCTTGCTGGTTACTTCCCCCTTCCCTTCTCTCCCGGCTACAGCGGGGTCCCAGCTGGCTGCGAGGGCGAAGGATACAGCAAGACTGGCTGCGGACTGTACAGATCAGCCAGAGAACGAAGGCACTCTCTCTCTCTCTCCCTCTCTCTCTCCTCTCTGTTGCACAACACACACACACACACACACACACACACACACACACACACACACACACACACACACGCATACACTCAAAACTCGGACCGGCCGCACCGCGGCTGCTCCAATCCTTGCAAAAGGCGAGCGAGCGTCCTCAGGACCTCGGCGCTCAACCCCGCTCAGTCTCTGCGCCCGACACGGCGCTAGTTCCCGTGCCCAGCGCGGCAACTTCGGCCGGGTGTTCCCGAAAATAAAGCGGAGAGGGAGGGTACAGACAGATCCGAAAACACCCCGGCCACACGCGCCACGACTTCAGCTCTTTCTTGGGGTCCGAGTGGAGACTGCGCCGGCAGCGCCCTGCGCTGGTGAGGTCCGCGCCGCTGCCGGGGAAGAGCCCACCTGCCGGTCCGCCATCGACCGGCGCAAAAAGTGGGGCTGGTCGCTGTTCTGCTCAGGCAGCGTCCGGGCTCCGGGCGCCCTCGCCCAGCTCGTTGGGAGTTCAACCTTCCTCTCAGCAGCCGGCCCCGCGCGCCGCAGAGGGACCCCCCAGGACGCAGCGGCGGACGCGGACCTCGCTATGGCTGGGGCTCGCAGACTGCTCCATCTATGGCTGGGCTGCTTGTGCGTGAGCCTGGCGCACGGACAGAGACTCAAGCAGCATTTCCCGGAGCTCCGCGAGCCCGTGCCAGGCGACCGCACGGCAGGTGGTGGCCCAGACCCCCTCCCGCAGCCGCTCGACAAGGTGTCAGAGCACATGCTGCGGCTCTACGACAGGTACAGAGGCGGCGGCAGAGCCGAGGCGGCGCGCACACCGGGGTCCTCGGAGCGGGGTTCGCCCCCTCTGCTCCCCCAGCCCCTGCGCGAGGGCAACACGGTTCGCAGCTTTCGAGCCGCTGCAGCAGGTGAGTGCCCGAGGCGCCCCCTTTCCGCGGTCCCGCCCCCGGTGTCTCCCGGGACCCCCACGGCTTCCTCGTCTGCCCTGTGTTACCTAGAGACCTTCCCTCGCCCTCCAGCTGCCCTCCGAGCCCCTCGGTCCTGTCACACCCCGCATCCCGCCTGGGAGTCAGCCCAATGGTAGAGTCCGAATTGAGAGGGAGAAGTGGAGAGAAGGGCGCTGAGCCCTGGAGGGAGTCGGCTGGAGGAAGTGCGTGAAAGAAGGGAAGGGGCTGCGCCCCCCCCCACACACAGGGTCCTCCTGCCCTGGGTGTCTGGATCTTCTCTGGGGTACCTTGTGCTGATGTTTCTTAAGTCGGTCAGCGGAAATTCCCTTGGACTGGGCTTTAGCCATGTTTACCTAGAGGCAGATGTCATTTTATGCCAACCCCGGGGGCACCAGAGAGAAAAGTCACACCTGAACTAGATGCCCTCCCTCGGGCTATTAGACACTCGCTTCTCCAGACCTTGCACCTCCTCTTAACTCGCGTCCTCTGTGTTACTATATTTGACACTTTCTACTTGATAGCCCCTTGGTGGCAAACACACAAACTAAACCAGGTGCTTGGGTGTTTCGATTATTTAAAACCCATCTGGGCAAATAGGGGCTGTACCACACACCCTGGGAGGAGCTGGAAGGGAGGGGAGCAGCCGTAGATGTAAACACCTCTTGGAATCCGCCGATGAAAATCTGCTCATCCCGTTTTTCAACACACAGATCACTGCGGACTGAAATTCATGGCTTAACAAGGTTTCTCCTGGCCCCTGCGGTGAAGCGAATAACTTATGCTAACAGCCTGCCTCCCTTGTGCTAACAGCTTGAGGGAAAGTTTCCTGGACACTAACTCGGTTTATGTGCTTTGAGGATGCACCAGGCTTTTTTGTTCACTACATCCGTGATAAAGGGACCTGCCTTCAGTGAACCGTTGAAAAATAGCCAAGAACTTCAAGTAGGGAGGCCGTGCCTCATGCTCTATCAATTCCGTCAGAATCACTAGAAAGAAATCTCCCAAAGCTGTGATATGTAGGACTCCCGGAAAAGAGGAACACAAAAGCATCCATCAAGGAAAGCCCTAGGTTGACACTGTAAATATACTCTAGAGCTCATAGGCATGATGACATTTACAATAAACGTGAATTATGCTTTCTAATGTAGAAGTCTTCAGCTATAGTCTGAGCTGAACAAGATTTCACTTTCTTCTTAAAACCACGAGCATGATCTATAAGGAGGTGGCCTTTGCTACGGAAACAGAAACCTGCTCTGGTTCATCCACAGTGTGCCGGCCACTTGAGAAGGCTGTCCTGACAGCTGACCACACCAGTGAATGCCCTGTTTACTTTAGTGCAACTCCAAGGGCAGAGCTCAATGAAGAGGTAGTGTGGGAGAAAACAAGGGTAGTTGGGTGGGCAAGGCAGGTGGCAATAATGAAGATACTGGAATCATTCTTATCTCGATATTCATTTTCTTGGTACTATTCCTAGGGAGTAGCTGAGGTACCCAAAAGGTGAATAGCATTTTTGGTATCGGCAAGTTTCACTTTAGTATGAATCACGAGGTTTGGAGGTAGCATGTGAGTTTGTTTCATTCGCACCTATTGTATAGTGTTTTTGTATGTTTGTTTTAGACTGAGGGAACCGTGAGTGGGAGACGGATAAGGATTTGAATAACTCAGCCCCCTTTACTTTTTGGGTCCAAGTCACTCCATGCATTATAATTTCAGAGTGTCCCTTATCAGCCTCTCTGTAGTCTTATACCATCAAATGATAAACTCTGATACAGAGGCCAGAAGTTCCCTTGAAATGATGAATTGCAGCTTGAAGCATATATACAAGGCTGCGTGGCCTGATAAGAAAAGTAATTCCTTTAACATCCTAGAGACTGTCTTAATGACTTATTCATCAAATGTAGACACTGGTTTTTGTGGAAGCTGAAGTGTCCTGTTACTACATTGGAGATTTCTGGAGAGACTGTTCGCCTTGGACCCCTTCCAAGAGTGTTTAGTTACTAAAACACTAGAAGGACCTTATTATGAGGCAGTTCTGGCTTTAATAAGGCAGGGCTCCAGGAAGGTGCTAAGGCTTTCGTGTGTGTCTCTCTCCTTTATCCATAACAGCATTTCTGTAACATCCTTCAGCTTGTGACATATGTTCTGATGCAGGCGAAAGATGCTGTCTGCATTAATAAATTAGATATGTTTTCTAGTCTGTAGTGTTTAAGTTTCACAACATATGGGCTTCTCCGTACCAAGGATGTTACAGATTTTAATGGAAGGTCAGGTGTGTGCTGTATCTATGGAGTGGCTGCTGTTCTGGCAGACTTTCCCAGTGCTTATTCAGGCTGAGTTATAGCCTTAGAGCCCTATTTGCTCCTTGGAACATACCTGATTAAAATGATTTATTGTTCTAAACCTAGAATATCTTTGGTTGAAATTTAGCTGCTGTGGTCTCCCTCTGATTACTTTCTACTTAAACCATTACTTGATGGTGGGTGGCGTTCATCCTAAATACACTTTCTGCTAACCCTTTTCTCCTGCCTCAATGGTGTGCAGTTGGTGTGCCAAAACCGTAAGTTTGGAGAACTCATAAGTCTTTTTGTGATGTGTAAGGGTTTACATAAAGATACGTTTTATCTTTCCCTTTGTAAAAGGTAATTTACAAAATTATCGATGACAGAGAAGTTCGGCTTTAGAAAAACACACCGTCTTAAAGGAAGACAAGAGGGATATGAAATCAGCTTTTATTTTAATCTTAGATTAAGTTGTCCCTGGCTTCTATGTAACAAAAAAAGAGTATTTTACATGAGGTTTTCTCCTGGCTTGGTCCTTTAAGATACATACTTTGTGTTCATTAGTTTCTCATCATTTCCATAGTCACTTAATCTTATTTTTCTTAATCATAAATTTAACCTCTTTAGGGAAAGCAATTAAAGCACAGATGTTCTTATTAGGGAACTATCATTATTTTAATTTAGGACATGTAACTACAAAAATGGTTGCATTTCAGTGGATTTATGTCACCTTAACAAAAAAAAAATCACACAGACTTCAGAGACAAAGAGAAAAGAAAATTGAGGAAAGTCAGACCCAAAAGTGAATATTTTCCTTCAGTGAGAAAGGGGAGAGTCTTTCCTACTGTAACCAAAAGTCTTTTAAAATGAAGAATTATAAAGTGACATGTTTCTGAAGTGCAAGTCTAAAATAAGGCTTTAGGAAAGATACAATTAAGGGCTAAACAATCATTCCAATAGGAGCCAGTCCTGTAAAATGCATGGGCCAGTGGGAAAGCATCATTTTTGATGGATTTGATGGCAAGGGGATGTAATAACTTTATTAAAACACAGTTACCTTGAAATTCCTGGCACCTAGAAACTAGGCTTGAAATTAAAGAGTACTTAGATTATCTGATGTTTTTATTCCAAGAACAATAGTACATCTGGAGAGGGGGAGCTGGATGTGCAGCTGCTTTGAATTACACACTACTTTGAATACATGATAGCCCTTAATGAAGATTTTACTGTAATAGGCAAGACAGCTTTACAATCTCTGACATTTAAAAATCCATAAAACCATGAATTCTTGATTATCTATGCTAATGGAAAAGAGAAAGAGAATGTATTACATAGAAAATAATTTAAATTTAGTTTTTAGTATAGTTAGACATACTCAAAGAGACCAAGAGACCACAAGGGTCAATGAAAAACATCCCCTAAGCAGATAATTCACTCGGGGAATATTTGTACATTAAAAATATATACATAATTAATAATATATTAAAAGGGTTACAGGGCTTCCCTGGTGGCGCAGTGCTTGAGAGTCCGCCTGCCGATGCAGGAGACGCGGGTTCGAGCCCCGTTTCGGGAAGATCCCACGTGCCGCGGAGCGGCTGGGCCCGTGAGCCATGGCCGCTGGGCCTGCGCGTCCGGAGCCTGTGCTCCGCAAATGGGAGAGGCCACAACAGTGAGAG